TGGAATAATTATTGTTTTATGATGTTGTTTTATTAAAGTGCAGTCGATTCTTTGTTTTTTTGTAAAACATGTAAAACAGTGTCGAATATCTTTCTTGTCGCAAATGAACGGTATGTTGAATTTAACAAAAGTATTACTGTTGTATTTGACAATTTTCTTATACATTATCTATGATTAAGTACTTTTCTAAATTTGTTTTGTAATTTTTAAACTAATGTATGTATGTAACTCTAGATTTGATCTTGTACTACAACATTCGTTAAATCCAATAGCTTTGTGACCTTTATTTTTAAAATTGTCACATATGATTGGAAAGAAAAACCTTTTAGACAATTATGCAATAATTCATATTTACCAATTTAAAGTAATGTTAATCGTTTGAAATTAATATATGATTTGAATCGGTCTATTTATTATAATGAGCTTGAGAAATATTTCTAACACATATTTTCAAAAAATAATGGTCACGATTTCTTTATGTAGTCATTCATCTAAAATAAAACTTAAAGTATGTAGATTATTTCATATAGTTTATAATATATAAGTACTTATACAAAACTATTGTACATTATATTTTATTAATTTGCATGATATACATTTTTCTATTAATTTTCACAATGGACAGCATGGTTTTGTTTTTGTTTTTATTTTCATATTTTCATTTTACATGAGTATAATTTGAAATTAACACTCGTCAATTTGAAATATTTTTATGTAAATTTAACGTATAATAATTTTTGCAAATTTATTATTTTTGTAGGAGAGAACGTACAAAATGGTGATCACTCGGAAGCCCATTTGAGCACTTTTTCGCATAGCAGTAAAGAGGTAAGACACTAACAAAACATATTTAATAATTTATATCCATTTTTTACTGCTTTTTATAAAAAACTTATTTGTGTATATATCGCTCATTTACTACAAGACTTGAATAATCCAAAATTTAGGTTTTTTGAACTGAGGGCTACAAAACATGCGTCATACTAAAGTCTTTCATATCAATTTATCAAATTTTAAATATATAAATTATTTTAGGCGTGAGATCTATTTTTTGTAGTAAACGTAAATATTAAACCTCATGTTTTCAAGAATATGTGTTAGATACATAAAAATTAAATTTCAATTTAGATGAGAAACATATTAACATCTACTATCTGAATCTGGTTTAATTTTTAATTTTTCAAATCCCTTGATTTGTTTAAAAGTTATTTAAAAAAAATAGTAAAATGGCATTAAACATTCAAAGCCATTTTTCTCGAATCAATTTTTTTGGATTATACCAGTCTTGTAGTAAATGAACGATACTATTTTTTTGCTGTTATCATTTTCTAACCTAATCATTTCATGTTTGCCTTGTTGTGTACTAACAAAACCACAAACGATATTTTCATTGCAAATTCCTATTACGGTTTCAGGATATTTCTACGGACGGTTCACCCAAGAAAGACAAAAAGAAGAAGAAGGGCCTTAGGACACCATCATTTTTAAAGAAGAAGAAGGAGAAAAAGAAGGCTGAAGCCTAAACTACTTTTGAATTGGAGAACCACGATATTTTTAAGTGAAAGATAAAACTGATCATTAGAAAGAGTAATAATAGAAAAAAGAAGAAAATGGAGTAAAAAATATCAAGAGAAAATAAAAAATGATTATCCATCGAGATAAATTTATTTATTAAGGTCATAAATGTGCAAATTAATTTTGTTATTTTAATTTACAAACTACCAAGTGCAAGCTAAATATTGAAAAAATAAGAGGCATTTTAAGAAAAAAATTAAAGAAACAATGCAGTTCGAATTGTTGTTAAGAATTATTTCTTTTATCTAAATGACGAATGATATGAAAACTTTAATACATATAACATTTTTTATAAATAAATTTCAAAATTAGGACTAAAAATTAACAACCATTAAATTAAATATTAAAAATACAAGTATGTATAGGAAATAAATTTATATTTATACCTTAAATTTTACAGAAAACATTTATGTATTTAATTAAAATAAAAATTAATATAAAAAATTTGTAAAACACAAAAGAAAATGTATAGAATATTTAAAAAAATATGTATATAACTACATATGTATGTAGAGTTTTGGTTATACATACATACATACATACATACATACATACATACATACATACATATATGCGTTAATGTTTCATATTGGTGAACCACATTTTAAATGTGTAACTTTTAAACAGTTTTCAATCAAGCCTTAATTTATAAAAAAGATCACATTTGCTTTTTGAAAAAATAAATGTATTGAAATAACAAAATTCAACTGATATACAACTTGTTGCTATTGACCTATTATTTTTTAATATACATAAAAACATGTAAGACCGATCGAAATTTACAGCTTTTCAAAATGACAAATACGTGAAATCACTTGTTTTGTTAAGTAAACAAACTTTGATAAAGATTCATATGTATACATATTAAATACATACATATTTATGTATATGGGTTTATATATTAATTCACACAATAAAACCTATTAAAACTAGAGGTAGAAAACGCAACACGTTTGTTGAACAACAAAAGATACATCTTTGTAAGCCAATCTAGCCGATCCGGTCTGAAATCTTATAAAACGCTAACGTGCATACATACATATGTATGTATGTATGTATGTATGTATTTTTTTGAATATTACTTGCAAACGTGAAAGTAAATCGATGCCTAATGTGAAGCATTTTTAAGTGAATTAATTCTTTATTTATTACAATTGTTTTTTATCTTTTTTGTTTTATAATTATATACGTTTTATAATAGCAGCATTTCACTTATGTATTTCATAATCTTTTATTGAAAAAAGTGACAAAATCAATATTTTAAATTACATATATATTTATTATTACAATATTAATTGGTAATATCTACGATTTTAATTATTTGTTTTGATTTTAGTTTTAAAATACTCTTGGCAACTACACGTAATAATATACATACAAAAATATATATTTTTGTTTATTAATATTTTTAGATCATACACTAATATATACTTTTATTAAGGCTTTTAAATGTATTGGAAAAAAGTGTATGTATGTAAGAAATCTAACATTATATTATTGTATTAAATTTACAACAAATATACACATACAAAATTCACTAAACACTTTTATAACATATTATTTTCCTTTTTTATTGTTTAGAAATTATATTTTGTTTACAATTTCTCTTTATTGGCCTTAGATAATCATCATCATTATGCAAAGGTGAAAAATATAAAAAGTAATAAAAACATAATAATTAATTATACTGCCATAGCATGTAAAAATAAAAATGAAATGCATACATACTAGTAATACATACTTACATACATAAATACAATCGGAAAATAGCCATTCATTACTATTTTTACTATTCAAATAAATGGATGTAAAAATAGCACCTAAATCAGATATATATTTAAAATTCACATTAAATAATTTGAATAATAAACAAAACTAAACAACTGCTTTTTATTATTAATAAAAACCAAAATGCAAAATTTATGTCTTAAAACGCTGAAATTTTTATTTATATGAACATATTTATAAATGTAAGTGAACTGGCTGGCAAGGTATAGTGTTTCAAAACGACGCAGTAAAAACATTGAAACATAGAAACGCAGCAAAATGACAATCAGCACATCAATTTCAAAGTTGTTGCTTGTTAAAGTTATTTGCTAAAACTACACAAACAGCTGACTTACTAAAACAATACTTTGCATTTTCAATATGTATTTAGAACGTGAAAATAAGCATGGTTTCAATGTTTTGAAACTTTACATGTGTACAAGATTTAAATACCGCAGTGGAATTGTGTTTAAACTTTATATTGGTACGTTTTGGAAGTCAGCCAGTCAAATTTCAAATATTGGGCCTGGGCATCTGATGCGCAGTACTTTCGGAAATGCATCACAGATAAACGGCTAAACTCGCATCATAAAAATGGCTGACGCGATAAATGTGTAGGTATTTAGATTTTAATTCATGAACTTTATTTTCATTTGTGGGGGTTTTTAAACGAAAGTAAATCTCTATTCATAAAATGAGCACCACTTTATTTGCACCAACATCGCAAACTAATCATTATATGCAGTGATGGATTTCCGAACAAGCCCATTGTTGATAAAAAATACAATTTACTGGAGTACTTTACCATTGAGAACGTAAGTATAATAATACAGTAGTTTCCCGGTTTAATGGATGATATGTCAAAGCAAATCGTAAAAACGAAAAATTCGTCCAACCGAATAACAACTTTTCTACGATTTAATGATTAAAATAAGGCAATGAACAATAGGGATTCTATTTTAAATCTTTTTGAATACACCCAGTATGCAAAATCCCGGTTTAATCGATGATATGTCAAAACAATTCGTCAAACCGAATAACAACTTTTCTACGATTTAATGATTAAAATAAGGCAATGAACAATAGGAAGTCTATTTTAAATATTTTTTTAAAATAGACCCAGTATGCAAAATATTGAAATTTTGTTAAATTTAGAAACAAACCAAAGTTAACGATTTAAAAAATCTTATTTTTATTTCTGAAAATTATGTTTTATACATTCATACATACAACGAACTCGGTTATAACGAATTCTCGGTTATTACTAACTATTTTTCAAGTCCCAACATTTTGGTAACTATTTTCATACAAAAAACAACTCTTATAACGAACTTGGTTAAAAATGGAGTTTGACAGCGTCGGTTTGAGAGAATTGTTTTTATATGTAGTTTGCCAGCTTCAGGCTAGACTTTCGAGAACAAAAAATTCTTATTATATGTACTATGGATTTCATTATAAAAGGGCCTAAAAGTGTAAATATAGTGGTTCATATCATTCTTCTTGTTGTTGTGAAACAAGTACTGTCACTTTATTAATACACTTTGAATGGCCCAATATGTCCAGCCATGTGATCAGCTGATTACTTTTTCCAAACGTAAAAGAAAGAAAACAGGCAAATTTTGACAGCAATTTAGATTATTACACCTGATTTTCTTAGTATACTTATAAGCTTACAGTCAAATTTAATACGGTTTGGCAGTAAACTAATTGAAGTCAAAAAATTATTAGCTGTGCGCACACATTCACCTGTATAATAAATATGCCCTGCTTGAAATAAATACGCTTTGGCTCAGATTTATTAAACTTTTGCATTCAAATAGAAATAAACAAATTAAAATGGCTGCCGTAACAGATCAAGAATGGTCAGAGTACAAAGTATGTATGTATATGTACAATATTTTTAATTTTTATAAAGGAGTGTATTTGTTTAGGATAAATTTAATAAAAAATACGCTGATGATGAAGACAAAATGCGTCGTGATATTTTTGTTAAGTCCAAGGTAAAAATAGAGGAACATAACAAAAAATATGAAAATGGAGATGTTTCTTATAAAATGGCTATTAATCATTTATCTGATTGTACGGCAGATGAGATGGCCAAACGTTGTGGCAAGCGAGTTGCCCCAACATCTCCACAGTTTGCCGAATAATACCTGTGTACATACATATACAAATAAATTTTATTTACATATTTTTGTATAAATAAATTGATTTTATTGTGCTCCGGCATTTTCCGTACGATTTACTTTAGAGTTTTAGTCAACAGGAGTTTGGGTAAGTTGAATTTTCAAGGTTTGATATTTTATATCACCTAAGTATTGTTTAATTTATGGGGTATAATAGGAGTCTACTAACTAATACCTATTACCCAATAAACCAAACGATATTACAAAGATATCGAAACGATGTCATCTTATGTTAAGTGACACCGTAGTTTTATCGACATCTGTACATACAGGCATAAAAATAAGTTTTCTTAATTTATTAAACATTTACACATATTTTATTAGATTTATTATTCATATGTTTCTATCGTTTAATAAATTATTGAGTGTTATTTTTATTATATATTTAAGATATCATTTTTATTAATTTTGTAAATGAGTTAAATTATAAAAGCTTTTGTTTCGTTAAGATTAAAGCAAAAAAAAGAACGGCATTACAAAAATGTTAAATAAAGCTTAAAGAAATTATACGAAAATTTATGTGTATTTGTCGGTATTTCTAATACAAATTTAACATATTTAATAAAACATAATTTTAAAACTAATATTAAATTTTATTAATTTAAAAACTATTAGTATGTAATTTAAAATGTGATTACTAATGGATGTTTCCATTTTTGTTTTTATATAAGGCAAAAACAATTGTCTTTATTTATTCTTATTTTTTAAAACCAAAGTATAAATTATTTGAATACATTTTCGTTCCTCATATACAAATAGGAAAATAACATAATTTTATTTGTATAAACAAACCAAGTGGTTGACAATTTTGTGCGTTTTGAGAGATTTAAAGTATTTTCAGAGTTTACGCAGAAAAGCTATTTTTAACAAAAGTTTAAAGTTAAGAAGTCCATATGTTTAATCAGCTTTGCGTGGTTTACGCTTGCGTACTTCACTGGGACTAGATTTATCACCAGTATGTTTCTTATCTGATTTATTTTCACTTTCTGGTTCTTCGGACTCACTGTGTGTTTGTTTTTCATCTTCTGTTGAAGCATTTTCATTATCGTCGTCTTCTTCATCTATTGCTTCATCATCTTCGACATCTTCATCGTCATTTTGTGGCCTGTCATCTTCTATTTCGTCATTAGCAATGTCTTCAATATCATTTCGTGAATTTTCTTTTGATTCCGAAAAACTCTGACGTTGCATTTTTTTTGGAGGATACAAAAAATCAACGACGCACACTAACATAAGACCCAATGCTGCTCCGACAAATATAGTTCCAATGGTAAAGAGTGCATATGAACCCCACGTTGGTAGGCCATACTCTTCTTGAAGTCGACCATTGAAATCCTTAAATGAATGATGAATAAGCTAAAGATTAGTGCCAAGGAATCAATATAATAAATAAAAAATTTTCAACAAGAGTTACCAATCAAGGCTAAGAAGTTTAACGAACTTAGAAATTTACCACACAATTTATGTACATATACATATGTATGTAGGTAGATAGTACATAACATTTCCAAACCAAAATAAAGTATTTATATGTGGTTTAGGTTCTTACCTTAAGAGTGTGTGACAATTTAAAGAAATATGACAAGACAGACATATGTATGGTATCTGGTTTCTTCCATGATGAAATTGGTTCCAACTTAGACCATTGTTTTTGTCTAATGAAAAACATTAATGCATCTCCATCCCGAGATCCACGGTATTGTCGAAATTCACCATCTTTAACACTAATAAACAAAATATTAATCTAAAAAAATTATTTCTAACATCAAATAGGTACTTACTGATAAATTGTTGGCAAAGCAGTTACATAAAATCGACCACTCAGTGACGGCGAAGTTGTAACATCAATTTTAGCGACATTAACATTTATTTCTGAAGCTGATGCTGCAAAACGTTCCCATACCGGAGCCAAATTCTTACAGGCGGGGCACCAAGGTGCAAAGCTGTGAAATAGTTAAATGAAAAACATGCATACATAATCTGGCAACTCGAAATGATTTTATTTTAATCACATGCCTCTTAATGTTTTATTTGTATTTTATATTTTTTATACTTACAACTCAACCATCCATTCTCCTTTGAACATTTGACGCCAATTGTCTTCATTTAATTCAATTAATGACTGCTGCTTTTGAACAGGTTCTGCTTGCAATACCTGCACTTTAGTGACAACAACAAAACAGCTTACAAGAAAAATCGCCAATAACGCCCAAGAACGTTGCTGCATGTTACTGCGGCCACCAAATCTCAAATTTAGCATTATATTTTATTATTTATAAAGCTTATTTTTCTCAATTAATTTCAGCAATTATTTTTATGAAAATCTTCAGCAAACCAACCGGCTTTATTTTTTCCAAATTAATTATCTTTTTTACATTCAAGAAAACTATGACGAATATGGTTACTGGTTTTACAGAGCGTAATCGAATGAAATTTCAATAGAGGTGGTAGAATTTCAATCCAACGTAAGTGTCTGCTATTCGACGCCGTTAAAAAATAAATTGCCATTTAATTTGACAATGTCTACACATTAAATAATTATACTGATGAACATATCGATAAAGATATAATCGTAAAAAATGCCACAAGAATACCATACCAGTAAGCAAATTAAAATAATAGGCTAGATAAAAAATAGCTTTAATCAAGATTTCAAATCCTGTTATTTGAATATTTTTTATGCTGAGTGAGAATATGTAAACATTTTTTCATCTTTCTTTTAGTTTCGAATTTGTGGAACTTCAAACTTGTAATTTTTACACATAAAACAATAACCCTAAAAATTTTGCTAATTTTTAGCGAAGCTGATGTTAGATACACCGGCTACCCAAAGGAGACGTTGTTTAAAGAAAAATAAATTTGCAAATATAACTGTGGTGATTATCTTCATGAGTTCAAAAAAAAAAAAAAATAAATAAAAAACAGAATTATAAAAAAATAAAAATATATTGAAAATATATTATTTAATTTGTTACAATAATATAATTAACGTATTTTTGAATCATACACACGCGCACATATATTTCAAAAAATAAGAAAATAATGAATAAAAAAACAACATGGCGATGAACTGTCAAAACGAATTACGAATGTGTCGTAGAAACGGGTTTATTGGCTACTGTAATTCAGAAGCCGAATTAAGTAATTCAACTGTCCGTGTGAACTTGGTATAACATAATCTTCATTGATTTATGTTGATATGAAGGCTTCGATAGTTCTAAACTCTATTTTCTTACATTGGAACGTTATCTGTTGTTATCGAAAATACAAATCTGGTATAAAATGCAACCATGTACATTTTGTCAACTTTTTATATACATTTGGAAAATGGCCGCCGTCGAATAGAGAAATATTTTCCTTGTTGAAAAAAATAAAAAGTTAATAAAAATTAAATCAAATTTTAAATGAAGACATTAAACGAGTTGCTATAGTTTTGAAACGTAAGATCATATGTGTGACTCTTAAAATATATTTGTTGATAGTAATAAAATGTTCGCTACCATGCATTTACGATAAATTATAATTATATTAAACAATGATAAAAAAGTTAAATTGTGATTGTTAATATAAATTTTATGCAATACATGCAGCCGGTTTTGTCCAAGTTTTCACGAACATTTTTAGAAATAAAGAATAACTTTTTTTGGAATCGGATATATACTTTAAATAATGATTTGCATACCTCTGTGTCAAAGTGATATAACAGGAATAATACGAAATAGATTTATTTGTAATGAACATATTCGGTGCGGTATCGGTTAAATTGGAAAAAAATGATAATTCGCGTAGTGTGCTTTCAGTTTGGAGTATAAAGTAAAAAAGTAATAAATTTCAAGGACCTTTTTCATAATAATAGTCTTATTCATTAAATATATTTTATTATTTATTTCCTTGAAAAGTATATTATTTTTTCTTTATATTGCCACATTTTTCGACAATCACATCCAAATGCTGTAAATTTTTTATCTAAACTGATGCCAAATCGTCAACGCATTCAGTCGTTTTCTATTTTATATTTCGATAAATTAACAAAAAAAAAAAAAAAATATATTATTGGTCATAAATATAAATGTTATAATATGCGGGTTCGAAACGATAATTGTTTAATAAAAATATAATAAGAATTAAACGAAATATTTAACAAAGTATTGATACCTATGTGGAAGTGTTTTAATAAAAATTTCATAGTTTTATTCAATTTAACTAAAATAAAAATTTATATTTTGTAATCTGTGTTTTACAGCTTCTTTAATACGCGTAAAAAGTTTATTTCTAATATAAATTGAAAAAATATATAAAAAATTACAGAGTCTTGTATAAATTCGTAAAAGTCGTGCAATAAGTTCGAAACATGTCTTCGTCGCGTCGTCGTGGCGGTATGGATATGAATCCAAAGTTACACATGGACCGCCAGCCAACAGTAACACGTATAACAGGTAAATGTATAGACATTTGTGATATTGGGTGCGTTTATGAGTAAAATGTTTTTTTGTACTTTAGATCCATCATTACCAGCTGGTAAACGTCGGGAAATTGATAACGTTATGAAGAAAGCAAGAGCCAACACCAACGATTATTGGGATAAGAAACTCTTGGAAGTCGAGGAAAAGGATCCCAATCGTTGGCGTCATACCGGTTATAAGAAAATGTATATACAAGGCGAGAGTAGTTCCGGAGAAAGTGATCGTGAAACAGATGTCGCGGTTGTGGGTAGTGCAGCTGGTGGAAGTAGCGGAAGCGGTTACCGTTACAATTCGACTAGTGGTCCACCATTATCTGGTGGACGTTACGGTCGGTCGCGATCTCCGCGTTCTCGAAGTCACTCGCGTTTACGTAAAACTCCACCTCTGTCACCACCTACACGCCGTCGTTCGCCGCCACCAACCTCGCGAGACATGGTAAATCGTATAAGCCGTGTTCGAAATTCACCACCGTCGTCGGTAGAAGGTCAAACCCGCGGAGGTCGTCCTCGTTCACCTCCGTTACGCGGCGGACCACCGCGCTCGCCATCGGATATGGGTGTTCGCAGACCAGGGGGTGGTGGAAGACCTCGATCACCACCCGAACCGCCAATTCGTCGTAAACAATCGCGTTCGCCAATCGAGAGACGTCGCAGTTCGCCATCAAGTTTAAATATGGGGCGCCGTCGTAGCCCTCCACCATCCAATGTTAGTGGGATATCTTCGAAACAAAGAGGACTGATATTGCCACGATCTAAAAGACCACCTTCACCTCCACCAAGGGTAAGTTAAACTAAACATTTAAAATTATTGTAAATATAGTTAATATTTTTCCCTTGGTAATTAATAACTTACCAAGGGTAAGTTAAACTAAAAATTTAAAATTATTGTAAATATAATTAATATTTTCCTAATTTTTTTAGAATTCGTGTCGATCGCGCACAAATAGTTCGGTTAGTAGTTGTTCGGATGATTCATGTTCGGTTTGTTCGCCTAGCCATCGTCATAGATCTCGGTAAGTTTTACAAAATTAAAAAGTTAATCTAAAAAGGTGATCTATTTGACATTATTTTCAGTTCACTTTCTTTGCCACGCGTACGGGGTGGTCCTCGGTCTCCACCCCCAAAATCGTCATCTTCTCGTTCTATGCATTATCAACGTGGTGCTGTAACAGCCTCTACGTCATCTTCAGCGTCATCAGCTGCTCGAATGCCTGGGCGCCCTGTTTCTCCTTCACGTGGATCGACTATTGAGAAATATCATCGTAATGATGTTGTGCGACACATAAGCCGTCAACGCAGCATTGATAATCATTCTGATGGTCAAGTTAAAGTAACACGATCCAGTCGTCATTCGCCTCCAGAAGATCCACGGTTGAAAAATAGACCGCCAGAGCCACCAGAACCTACTACTTCAGCTGTTGTACCACCCAAAAAGAAGAAAAAGGATAAAGAGGTAATATACATACGTCCACAATTTAAATATTTCTATCAATCATGTACTATATAACAACGATTAGATTTGGAAACATAAGATTTTTATGTTATGTTTTATGTTATCATATTCTTGATTTAAAAATTATTTTTTTGATAGAAATCCCACTCGTATCCCATTAACTAATAGTTTAAATCACTAATGCATTATATTTGGAATCTATATAATTAATAAACTCAAGAACTACGGTACCTAATAGGACGTTTAAATTTAATTAAATTACTTCTGAACTTTGGACATTTTATGCTAAATTATTAGTTCGAACTAAAACAAAATATTTGTGTACATTAGACCGACTCACTCTTTATGGAAAGCAAAAACGTGTTTTTGTTACCCCTTTCAAAATTTACCTTGCTTTGTTTTATGATTCCCAGAATATTTTGAGTCTAGCGATGACCGTTCGTGAGCTGGACCAAGTTTTGTTTTGAAACAAAATATCCAATATTGGGTATCGTTTAAAGGAGTTTAAAAGCCGCGTCCAATGATGTATTAATCAAAATATTTTTAGGTTTTTCACTGATATAAATAAAATGTATGCACAATTTTGTAAATTTTGCGCACCACTAGACGTGGCTTCAAAAAACCTTTCAAATAATACCACATTTTTTATTTATTTATTTTTTATTTTGTTTATCAATGTTCAATAACCTAGCCAATAGGCCATAAGCGGTTACAAATTACAACATACTGTATATATTGTTTAAGAAAAAACTGTAAAATTTAAAAAAATAACTAAAAAGGGACTTTTTTGTAACCAGTCCATCTCACGAACGGCCATGGATAGACTAAAAATATTTTGGGAACCATCATAAAATAAAACGAAGATTTTATGAAGCTGGGTAAAATATTGAATTGAACATGAAAAATCGTGTCCCCCATACGATATTTTCTTGAAAACTGTCCAGCTCACGAACCAACAGCACTAACTAAACTCAAAATATTTTGGGTAACATTATATTACATAACAGCAAATGTTTTGAGTGGGGTAACTCAAGCACCAGTTTTTGTGAGTCGGTCTAATGTACATACATATGTATATACATAGGATAATTTAAACAAATTTCGATCATAAAAAAGTGGGATTTTGAACATGACCTCCTCCGATTTTGATGACATTCAGCAAACACATTCTTCGTGTAAATGCAAAATTTAAAGTTCTTCAAAATGTTTTTATCGAGGTTCAAAGTTCATATTTTTTAGGACTTTTTTTTAACAAGTATTAAATTTGACATCGTATATTTTCTAAACTATTTATCAGATTTTAATCGTTTTAGTCCCTAATTAAAGCCTATATCTTGTAGTTTAATAGGATATCTCAAAAAAAAAGGTACCATCCATTTTTTGTATACCTTCACCAAAAGTAGCTTAAAGTGTCATGAGCAAAATATAAACAAATCAGAATGGGACAAAGAGGGAATCTCAAGAAAATAAGCTATTAGTAAAATTACATCGTTTCCACACAAATTTCAAAATATATAAGTTTTAGTTAATGAAATATTTATTTTTTGTCTGGAATTTTCAGACCTTTATTGTGTTCATCACCCTCATTGTCCCATTCTGAATTGTTTATATATTGTTGAATACACTGTTAGCAATCTTATATGAAGGAATAAAGAAAGGTACCTTTTTGAGATATCCTTGAATAAAGGACGTTTCTGATGTCATTATCCTTACGTTAAAGCTATAATATGTTAAATAAAATGCTGTCAAACTACAAGTCATCCCAGCAAAAAATTTTGAAGTTGCTCAACAAGAAGGGATATTTTCATGATTTCTTTTGTACGTATTCTATTTAATGCGTTTTAAATATATGCCTAAATTCTAATAAATTTGTCATAAGTGAAGGCATGAAAAAATGTACCCAGTTCACTCATGTACCTCCACTTTAGGAATTGTAATATTTTACTATAATTTGGTATTCTCTTAGAATTTAACGCAAACGTGCATTTTATACAATAAATATTAAAAATAACATAAATTTTTTTATTAGATTGTTAATTAAATTAATATTAACTCCATTTTAACATTAATAAGAAAAAAAAAACGTTAATAAAAAAAGTTGACTGACTGCTTAGGGGGTTTAAAACAAAATTTTACTCTGCATGAATTTTAATCTAATTCAAAATCAAATAATGCACCAATGCAAATTCGCTTGAGAATCATCGAATGTTCGTTGGTTGTACGCACTCATTTTAATGCGGAACTATTTTTCCAAATACGAACCCATGCACGCCAATGACACGCTAATGTTAAAATCATGCATGTTTCACCTAAATATGAACCAGTTCATTACAAGTTGAACCCATGCATTTACTACTTCTTTTGCACGTCTTTTTTTGCTGAGATAGGCTTAGAAAATATACGATGTTAAATTTAATGCGTGTTGAAAAAAATCTTAAAAAATATGAACTTTGAACCTTCATAAAGTCTAAACCGTAATGAATTTGGAAATTTTGAGCTTTAAACTTCGTATTTATAAAAACAATGTGTGTATAAAGTTAAAAAAAAAAAATCAAAATGGGTAAGGTTCAAATCCTGTTCGAAAAATTTTGAAATGCCCCCATATCATTTGGCTCAATTATAATTGTATAATAATGTGTAAACAAAAAATGTCCGAATCTGTTATTACATAAATTATTAATAATCTTGCATTTTTTAGCTTCGGACGCGTATAAAAATTGAAGGAGAAAAGCGCAAAAAACACTCTTCTTCAGAGTCAGACGATTCAGGTGCATCGGACAGTGATGAAACTCCGTTACCTACATTCACAGCTACTACGCGTCTAACTTTGTCGGAACGTTTCGGTAAAATGGCACAGTGGTCTATTGATCGAAGCAATATGGAAAATATGCGTATTACAAAAGATTCCGCTGGAGGAGCTCTGAAAGTTATGATAGAAGAGGGCTTGGAATCTCCGCCGCGTCGCTATTCGTATTCGCCAGCACCGGTTGGCCATTTCCCTGAGGAATTAGCAACAACAGCACCGTCGGGCATGTTGTCTTGGGATGACGTACGCGTTCGTTACGAATATTATAAATCTCGTGGATACTTAAGGGACTTAGATCTAAAGGTGCGTTAATTTTTAAACAATTTTTCCATAATGCTAATTTTTTTGGGCCCATATTTTACTTTCCTTCAGGACTATATCAAGTGGGAGGAATGGTGGTATAAGTACCAAGAATGGCTAAAACATGAACGATATTATGAGTATTGGGAACGACAACAATTAGCTAGGCGTAGACGTAAAAAATTGCCCATAACTCAAAGACTAAACTAAATAATTTAAAGTAAATAAAGTATTCTTCATTTTTTTCAATTACATAATTTTTATACATAATATTAGTAATTTATCATTCTCGCCTTTTGTGAAACCATGTTGATACTTTATCGACACATTTTTCTTTTCATTTTTACATTTTGAATGTATGAAATTTTTATAGTAAGATTTTTATTTGTATTCAATTTCAAGAAATTATAAAATCTTTGTTTTTTATTTTTGATTGAAATAGTATAGCTCTATATTTTTTCTATAATACAAAATAACAGCGTAGTTTAATAGAAATGAAAATTACATCAAAATAAGGTAAAGTAAAACTTCTTCAGTTTATAAAGATACATTATTGTAATTATAAAAATTATATAATAAATATAAAGAGTAATTAAATCCTTTAAAGAAGTCGTTTCCTTATTATAACTTACGTACAATATTGTTTAAAAAAGCAATACACCATTTTGCTATCGAACGTAAAGTTCTTAATGTTATGTAAAGCGTGTAATAAAAATAAGTAAGATAAGTGACCAACAATCGAAAAAAGTAATTCCAACAAAAACTGAATCGTAAGAAAAAGAAGAAGAAGCAATTCCATTTTGTTTCATGCTTTACGATTGTGTGTATTCTGCATTACGATTTTGCTATGTTTTTGTAATTTGCTGTTTACGTGGCGAAGAGTCGAATCAAAATACAGAATACCAAAGTTAAAATGTATGGATGCTGTAAAACGATCAAAGTTCGGCAGGGTCATCAAGGTTTATATAAAACTAGCTATACCCAGTGTGCTTTGCTACCCTAAAAGGAATGTGTTTAAATAAATACCAGATTTATTATATGTTACTTATGAAAGATGTCAAGCAAGTTATTGCAAGTTCGCCAGTTTCTATCTATCGCCAATTTCTATCTATCAATAAAAAATTTGAATAATATAAGAGTTTCCAAGATGCACGAAATTTTGTATTTAATTCATGTATGTTGTGTCAGCCACCCATTGAAAGTCCGCCCGTTATGCTCTAAATGTTCACATGAATTTCAAAGTTCTCCATGTAAAATTTGAAGTTTCTAGCTCTAATAGTTTCTCAGATATACGAATTTTTCTATTTGATTCATGTCGGGGCTTCAAGACCCCCCAGATGAAAGTCCGCTTTTTTTTCTCCAAAATGTTCAGATGAATATTTAAGTTCTTCGTGCCAAATTTGAAGAATTTAGTTCCATTAGTTTTCCAGATAAACGATTTTTTGTCTTTAATTAATATGGGAGGTGCCGCTCCCCTCATGGGTATTCCGCCAATTTATTACCCAAAATGTTTAGGTGGATGTTAAAGTTTTTCGTGCAAAATTTGAAGATTATAACTGTAATAGTTTCCAAGATAAACGTATTTTTGTATTTAATTTATATGGGAGGTGCCACGCCCCCTACTGATAGTCCGCCTACTTTTTGTCCTAAATAATTATTTGACACTAAAGTTGCTTCGACAAAATTTGAGGACTCTAACTGTTATATTATCTAAAATATACGGATTTAATATTTTCTTAATATGGACGTGGCTCCTCGCCCACTTGGAATTTCAAAATAAAAAGTAGCCTATTACCTATTCCAGACATGCAGGAATACGCTGTGAATTTCAAGAAAATCGGTTCAGCCGCTTAGTAGTCTATAACGTTCAAACATACAAACAAACACACATTCATTTTTATATACATATATAGATTTAGTTGTGTCGGATTTTGTCGAGAAATTAGTTTTTTCGTTAAAACTAAAAACAAATCAAGGTTAAAGATTTTTAGAAAATAATTCATTAAAACTAGTTAAAAACTATTTTTTACAAGATTTTATTTAACTTGCTTTGTAACTAAATTTTCGACCAGTTCCCGTGGACCGATTTGGTTGAAATTTTGTACACATAGGCACGTTTGATGACAAACATTCTGAGTTTTCTTAGTATGTTGTTGAAAATTTAACAGAATTTTGAAACCACTTCCTGTAGCTCAAATATGCCGAAATTTGGAATATACATATATGTATCAGATGCCTACATACATATATGTATATGTCTGATAACAATATAATGTAATGTTCGAATTTTCCAAATTCCATTCGAAAATTTATTTAAAACCATTAAAAAGGCGTGAAACATTCAAAGGTGTTTTTATCAAAACTATATTTTTTTTTTGATATACCAAATTTCCAGTAAGTGAGCAATATGTTTAAATTGTATACTAATAGAAAAACTCATCTGTATTCCGCTAAGGTATTAGCATAGTTAAAAATTTGGTAAATTTCCATAGCTTTTTTGACATGCTGTAAAAATAAATGAACTGCTGATAAAAGTAATATTATCTCTTTTTTAGTTTTATTCGTCAATAAAAGATCATATTATGGTAACATTTTCTAAACTAAGTTTGTGATTTCTTAAAAAAAAAAATATATGCATACATAATAATTTTGTTTTTAATAGCCTTTTTGGTTTAAGTTGCGCATCAGTGGATTAGTTTTAAGATGTAAATCCAAATGCATGTGTTGAAAAGCTTATGTTATTTTAACATACATAAGAAATATATTAAATACGAAAACCGCATTTATACAGTATATGTATACTAATCTTTATTTATATGTATTATATAATGGTTGTGTGACAAAACTTGCATACTTTTATACACCCATAAGAATATGTTTTTTTCTATAGAACCAAACTGACGACGTTAAATGTATCTAGGATGGATCAAAGGATGAGGTGTTGTTCCTTTACAATTGTATTTGTTTTTATTCAATTACTTTATTTATAATCTGAAATTTCAACTAGATATAATTATTTAAATAGTCAATTACATTGACATCGAAATAACTAGTTAGTAATCTATTAATCGGATGAATTTCTTAATTTCGGAACACTAAGATGGCATTTTAAATTATAGTACAAATACATACATATACGCAATAAATACAATAGGTTGCATACTTACATATAAATATTTGTATATATGAAGGTCTTAGAGTGAAATATTATTATCTGCTTATCAGTGGAAATGTTTAGAAGATGTCTGAGAAAAAGCTCTCTAGTGGTCGATCGCATTATCTTTTGAATACACGAACTTGACAACTTTCAGCCGGTTAATTATCTTTGAGTATGATTTTAAATACTTATTATTTCAATTAAATTATTTAAAGTAGATTTAGTTTTTGATGGACATTGCTCCAGTTAACATTAGCACTATGCCAGAGAAAGTTATTTTAGCATATTCCGGAGGTCTTGATACATCTTGTATTTTAAAATGGTTGTTAGAAAAAGGATATGAAGTCATATGCTTAATGGCCGATGTTGGGCAAGAGGAAGATTTCGAAGCAGCCAAACAGAAAGCCCTTAAAATAGGCGCTACAGACGTAATCGTCAAGGACGTGAAGGAAGATTTTGCTAAAAATTATATATGGCCAGCAGTACAAATGGGTTTGATATATGAGGAACGCTACTTATTAGGAACATCTTTGGCCAGACCGTGCATAACTGTGGCATTAATTGAAGCAGCTAAGCAGTACAATGCCAAATATTTGTCACATGGTGCTACTGGTAAGGGCAACGACCAAGTAAGATTTGAGTTGTGTGCTTTTGCTTTAATGCCAGAGATAAAGGTACGTAGAGAACAAAAAAATTTTAAATTTACAGTATTATTTAATTCATTTTCAATTAGATTATTGCTCCCTGGAGAGATGAAGAATTCTGTAAGCGTTTCCAAGGTCGTTTGGATTTAATTGAATATGCTAAATTGCACAACATACCAGTAACCGCTAAGCCATCTACACCTTGGAGTACTGATGCCAATGTTCTACACATCAGTTATGAATCGGGAGTTTTAGAAGATCCCAATCATATTGCTCCTGATACTCTCTACGAAATGACTAAAGATCCTTTAACTCAGGCTCCCAAGACACCAGTGAGAATAAAGATAACGTTTGAAAAAGGATTGCCGGTAAAATTGAATGACAAGGAGCAAAAGCCTTTGGAAATGCTTAAATATTTGAATCAAATTGCCGGCTCTTATGGTATCGGTCGTATTGATATTGTCGAAAATCGTTATGTAGGCCTAAAATCCCGAGGCGTATATGAAACACCTGGCGGAACTGTACTCTTTCAAGCTCATCAAGACTTGGAAGTATTTTGTTTAGACAAAGAGGTTATTAAATCTATTATTTCGTGCCCATAAATGTATTACTTATAATATTTTTACAGGTTTTGCGTTGCAAACAATATCTTAGAGATCGCATGACCGATTATGTGTATAATGGCTTTTGGTTTAGTCCTGAAGCAAGTTATGTTCGTCAATGTTTAGAATTATCGCAAAACAACGTTTCCGGCCATGTCACCATCGAATTAAGACCTGGCTACTGTCAAGCTATTGCTAGGGAGGCTTTATGTTTGAAAAAATCATTGTACAATCAGGAATTGGTTTCCATGGATGTCCATGGAGGCTATGTACCACGAGATGCATCCGGTTTTATAGCTATTAATGCAGTACGCCTTCGAGAACATGTTAGAGCATTTGGTCCTTATGAAATTAAAAAATAATTCAATTCTGAATGTAAAATCATCTACACGTACTATCTGTTCCTCGAATCTGTATTTTTTCGAATCGAATACAAATATAAAAGTTATAAGATTTGTTAAATCTTTAAAAAACTGAAATGAGGCACTGGAAAATCCACATAGTACATAAATAACAAATAAAACTCTGTTTTCTAAAGTTATTTTCACAAAATGTTTTATTTTTGAAGTTGAAAGTTTTTCGATCCGACATATTTTTAGAGTGATAATTCTAGATAGATTACGATTTTAAAAAATTTATTGTCGTGTATCAATTGCTTAATTTGACTTATACTTTCAACGCCACTGAAATCTAAGATTGAAATTTTCTATGCAAAATAAAAAAAACACCAAAATATATACTTTTCTTAATTATTGTTAAACCGTTAAAGAAGCACGTCTCAACATAAATTGTTGGCGAGGTAAAACAATAGAAAACACGTCAAAGAGCGATAAGGCAAATGTTTTGTTTTGACACGTCAATTCGAGTACAGACATAAAGAAATTGTAAAACGTACATTGCAAACGCAAATTTCAGCATTGTTGTTTTTCATTGATCCATTTAAAAATGAACCCTTCTACGAATTTCTGCAATCACACAAAGTTAATGGCAAAAGAAACCAAAGCGAAAACGGTTGTTTGTCGATTTTGCATTAAGGGTTAATAGGATCATCGTATTTGCCTGCTATTTTGATAACCAAACCACATTTTACAGCCATTATGTTTTACCATACCACGCCAGTTGCCCCGCAAAAACATGTACATCCATACATATACATACATACATACATACAATACATGTTTACCATCAAGTATC